TTTAAAATAAGAAATACCCTCAATAGTCTGTTTATCCATCTGGATGTAGAAAATATTTGGATATATTGAGAACACACGGTTCCCAACAATTTGGTATTGTACCAAAGGGTAAGGATGCTAATAATAATTAATATAAATTTAAAATACAAATTATTTAGGGAAAGCCAAAGTAAGTCAATCAAAATAAAAATATGATCACACTTCCATGCCATCCATTATTCAAAACAAATTAAGCAATTTTTAAATATTTCTATTTACTTAGGTATAATATTAATATATATGTCGTATTGGGATAATATGGAATCTTGTGGGATTCGACTCAATCAAGAAAATACTTATTTCAATCATAGTTTTAATTTAATTTATCTACTTGATTAATATTATCCAACGTGGGGATTCAAGATCCGAAAAAAACATGGGGATTCCGAATCTCACATGAATCCATATCCCAATACAACATATATATGAAAAAAACAAATATATTACCTTCAATTTGGTATTAGAAGCTGAGTTGTGTTGATTATTGACCTTTTTGGCGGGCTCTTTTAGAATTTATTAAAATTGAATTGGTATAAATACTCTAAATATATAAAGAATGTCTTTTTAGTATATTTATTTCTTGCTTGAACAAAGAGTTCCTAAGCTTAAATCGTTTTAACGACTTATATTATTTCATTTTTTTTGTTCAGCTATGAAATGAGGAATTTAAACCTTTTCCAATTTATTGATATCTTACTTATCTAATATTAAATACGAATTTTATTTGATACCTAATTCCACAATCTTTAAAAGATGCTTAAATACTCCTCACTAATATCTTAAGTATATATTTTAATTTAATTTATGATTATTTACCACAATTACCTTTATCCGTGTTCGGATGTGGCCTCTGAACTGTAGTTCCTAATTTAAATAAATTACTTAAGAAAGTCATTGGAATTTAAATTTTATGAGATTTTTAATAAAACTAAAAATGATGCTTATTTTTAAATTTATAAGCTTAAATTAATTGTTAAATCATGTTTCATGCTTTTTACGTCGTTTTGATGCTTTTTATATGCAAAGATTTTGTCATCTTTCAGATTTTTGCATGGTTTAATGACTCTTCGATGTTAGACAAATAATATAACAAATAGAATAGAAAATGCGTTGTACAATTATTTATATATCTTTCTATTGAAAGATAATATAACTGATTTATGGACTAATAAAAATTTTGTTTTTAATAAAAAAACAGGAAAAGAAAGCATCCCGAAAGAGCTCTGATTGGAAAAGTTGAATTTTATTAGGCTGAGGGGTATGTCGTTTCGATTAGATTATAATTTTGTAAAAGAATAATTTTAAGAAATAAGTTTGAAAAGTTAATATAAGGCAGTCAAATAGGGGATAGTGAAAAGGTTATGTCATCTTGCGGAGAACTGATTTTTTTGAAACATAAAAAATTCTAAAAAATCTTTTCAAGATAAAAGAACAGAAAGGACTATCAGTATAAAAAAAAATTAAAATTGAAAAATAATAAGGACCTCGACGGGTATTCTTTTTCATATATATATACAACAATGCAATTTATAATTTTTAGTATTAATAGATTTTTTGTATCTGATACATTTCTTAGCCCTAACCACTAAATAATCCATCATATCATCAACTTTTATGTATCTCCCTTTTTCTCATTTTAATTTGTAGAACCCAATATTATTTATTTATTGATATTTTATATTCAAATCGCACACAAATACCAAATTATATTAAATTTATCTTTCCTAATTTCTATGTTTGTTTCGTGTAATGGGAAAATGATATCAAATAAAGAAATAAATTCTGACCCTCATTTAATTGTATATTTATTCACTTCTAATTATATTTTGCCATAAATTATATTCTAGCGCCAGAAATGAGTGTTCAATTGGATTCGGTCGGTTATGAGTCGGCAAATAGTCAAACTGGGCTAATGTTTTATACGTAATTATAGCTATAGATGAAAAAAAGTATTTCAAAAAATCGAGTTTTATTATAGCTTACAAGTAATATGTGGCATAATATATTGTGAAATAATAAGGGAATATTTTAAAACAATATTTGATCCAAAGTTTGTTGTCTTTTACTCTATTAAATAATATTTTAAATCCAATGTGTTTAAATATTGTATTAAAATGTAATTCAAAAACCCTTCTTTCTTTATAAAGTCGAATCGATTTCAAAATATATACTTCACTCACTAATCATAATATCTAAACAATTATCCATCAGACCGTATCATCCGAGAAGTAATGGTTTAGTATAAAGATGCATACAGACTATAAAATATTTCGCAAATAGTGAACAAATACATTATGGGGAAAAGTTCCTAAATGAAGTACTATTTACGTATTCAAAACACCCATCAACGGGGCGAATACCAGCAAAGCTATTTATGGGAAGGAGACTAAATACATTATTGAACTGTATCAAACCTTCTATTACTGAAAATTTAGAAACTTCTGTAGTGAAATTTAACCAGTTAAACAAAGGCATTCATAGATATTTGGGAGAAAACGATTTAATTTGGATAAAAAACCCAGTTGAAAAAAGGATGGCATGAAGGAAAGATAATAAATCAACAAGCTAAACTCTTATAAGGTAGAAGAAAAAGATAAAATAGTACGGAAACATGCCGACTAATTACGAACAAGGGAAGAACTAGTTGAAACCGAATCAATAATAATAGATGACAATATAAAGTTAGGAAAAGATAAAACAGAAACATTGAACCAAATTAAGAAAGAATTGAAAACGATAACAAACAGAAAGATTAAAAGATGAACTTGAACTTGATCGGAAATAAGAAAAGTTATAATATTCAACATTATTTGTATGTCATACAATATTATAATGTATTATATTATTAGGGTCAATCTAATTGAATAATTATAGAAGTTAAATTTAAAAAATATAAAATAGTGTATATATATATAATACAAAAGAATTACAAATAATTATCATTAGTTTTGATGAACTATTCTAAATATGAAAAGCAACAATAACCTGGTAGTTTAAAAATATTTAAAGGCTTCAAAATATGGGTAAATAAGCTGATATACACGTGACGTGAGAAGCCGTTTTTATTGAGGGGTATCAACTGAAATCTAAAAAAAATATTAAATACATTATATTTCACTAGGGCGAGTGGGAGTTGCTAAAATAACATTATGTCTACATGGGTATCAAATGAAAGCTAATAAGGGAATTATTTGATTACATTGATTCCTGTAATGTATAATCGATTAAATTTTATTTTTAGTGAAATAATGATTTATTATAAAAACTTTTATGCAAAAATTAAGACATAAATTTATGTATATAATCTATGAAGAGAAACATGAATAAGGAACTAAGAAAAAAAATATTAAAAAATGGTACATATCACCTTAGAGAAGAGTGAATGATTAAAAAATTGGATTGCTGTTAACACTGGAGTTCGACGCAGGGCGCTGCTTGCAGTGTTATAAAAGAAGTTGCCTGAACTCGTATAAGTGGGCTATAACAATATTTAAATTGAAGTTTCGGATAAATATACCATTAAAGTCTAGGTAAAAATTTTTCTAAATCTTTACCAATTGTAGTAGTTAAAGGAGATAATTCCCTAATTTTTGGAATGCCTTTCTTAGAGAATTTGATATAAAACTTCCGGAAGAAGTTTGAATAAATATCATAAATACGAAAAAACTGTTTGTAATATTTCCTCAAGTTTAAAAAATAAATTAGGAGAAATAAAATTCAACCGAAAGCATTAACCTATAAGCCTTACAAACAAGAAGAGTTCCATTTCCCGCTGCGTCCAACTGAAGTAAGCTACTTTAGCCTGAAGGGCATTCCACTTCCCAAAATGATTTCCTAGAATTACTCTTTCCATCCTTCTTTATTTTCTATGCTTATATATTTAATTTTTTAATGAAATAATGATTATAAATATATTATTTATATATTTCCTTTTACATATCTGATATATTATATCGTAAGATTTGATTATAATAAAAAAAATGATTTTAATCAAGCCTAAGATAGCTGCCAGTTTATTAAATAACTTAAAATATAGTTAATTTATTATCAAATTTAAATTCATATACAAATATGGTTTAGCGTTTTTTAGTGAAATAGATTTTAGCGCTTTACTTATTCATTTATATTATTTATTTTACGGCTTGGGTGGAAGAAGAAGTGACATCTACCGCAGTTTTAATTTTACTGTTAATTGCTACGATTCTCTTAATTACAGAAACCCTAATCATATTGACCTCGTGAGACTACAACAAAAATGCTGACTGATTCTAAGTTTTACACCAATTTAAAGTCTTAAAGGCGAATCAGTATTCGCTATTTTATATTTCATTCTTCATAGCAACCCAGACCATATTGCTCGCATATCGCCATTTTTTTTAAGTGCGGGGGTATTATTTTAACTCGATAAATTGGCGTTATTTTTTGAATATAAATATCTTTTATTTTTGAATTTATTATAGTAATTCAATGCACCCGATCTCATATATAGTAATAGCATTTGATATTAAAAGATATCATTAATATGGTAATTATGTATTCGCTTTGGTGTACAAATATATTATATATAAAATATTATTTTGCACTAACATGGTAAAATGCCGAATTAAAATATAATTTAGGATATATTTTGAAAGAATTATAAGAATAATAAGGAAATATTGTTACAATTAAAAGAAATGACATAAAAATGTTTAATTCGATTTTTATAAAAAATAAAATAAATAATGTAATAAATATATTTTAAAAATGATATCTTCGATGTGTTTAATTAAGTGTTAACGATGTACAAAATTATTATATTTTACGCTAATTTATGAAGAGGCAGCATTATATTTAGCTTGGGTTATTTATTTAAAATGTTTGAATGTAAAAAAAATATACAGTTTTTATGTCACAAATTTAACGCAAAAAAAGAGTCATCTAATGGTTTGGTTAGTCTAATAATTTAATACCGATTATTATTTAAAGTTCATATTAACTAAAAGTTGAATGCACATCACACCATCTTTAAAATTGATGGGATAGATAAATCCTAAAGTCCCGAAAGCATAACGATGTATTTATGAGATGTTAATACTGACTTAATTTTAAATATTAAGCATTTCAGGGAATCTTTTTAAAAAAGAGTGTTTTTTTAACGATTATTAATGCGATTTTGGGGTTTTATGTTAAGGGTGGTGCCCGAATTTTTTTCGATCTAAGGCAGAAAATTTTTGTTTTTGAGTCGAGACGAGAGCCAAAGAACTGAGACAGGGCGATAAGATTCTTTTCGTGTTAGAGACGTTTGAATCTATTGCCTTCAGTTGAAGCTTACCTTTGAATACCGAATATTTTGGAAGTTCGTCGGCAATACCCATATTCCGGGTTTTGGTTAATTGATGATCCCCGATATCAACTATATCCATATTATCCGAATTTACAAACTCAGATAATTTCGAAGTAATATCGCTATTTTGCCCAGTTCTTCTTAATTTGTCGATATCGTGACCTTTAACGAGCTCGGCTCTTTTGGCTTCTTTGCACTTCAGCGCTTCGTTTAGTTTTATCATTTGGTTGTAACGCTTGATTTGCTCCGAAACTGTTCGGTGAGGATTACTCCTAAGGGAATATCTGTCCGAAGAGGCTATCGAATTAGACTTCGCATCGATTGAATCATTGATAGATTCGGCGGATATTTTAGAAATAGGAACCCGCGAAATATTTCCCTCTTTGGCAAAATTATTTTGACCGAAATTGGCGGATTGTTGACTGCCGCCATTTTGGTTAAGCTTGGATAGTTTTGGCCTTTTCTTAGGGGTGTCGGTATTAACAGCATCGCCAAGGTTTTCTTTCGGACATTCTGTGTCACGAAAGAAGGGGAAAGAGAATTCATTTTTTGTGCCAATATTGACTTCCTTATTATTTTCCAGGGTAATATTCATCTTGTTGGAATTATCTAAATTGTTTTCAATATTTCCTAAACTTTCCAGCTTTTCCCTGTAAGTATTGAGACCATTTCGAAGGGAGTTAGGCCTACCTCTTAAAAGGTTAGGCTTTTTGCGCTTGTTGTTGTGAAGATTACTAGAACCGGAACGCTTGACCTTGATAGCAGAACCTTGATTAAGCCTAGTTAGCTGAGGTAACTTACTCAATATCAAATTTTGGTCTAAGTTTTCATTAATATTCTGATCTTTATTGAGAGTATTCAGAGACAATTTCAAAAGTCCTCTGGCGGCTATACTAGCAGGAGAAGGGCTATTGTAGGTTATCATACTTTCTGGGGCAAATATTTGAGAATTTGGAGAAATTTTAGTGGTATCCTCAATCGAACCGGAAATAAAATATTTATTTTTAGCTTCCTGTAATTCTAAATTGGTTTGGGATTCGTGTGGATGTTGATCATATTCATCCTCGAGGGAATCACTAATGATTGAATCGATAGAATACTTGTGTTCAAAGTGGCCGGGTTTTTTGTAATCTGTAATAATGTGATACAATATTAAGAGTCATCTGGGTAGTCATCTCAAAAACAAAACAATGAGTTTTATTAATTAGACAATAATGAGTAAAAATTTTAAAAATTGTCAGAAACTAAACATATTTTACACGTGATGGAGGAGTACATTTTCCAACATAATCATATCTATTTTAAAAAAAGGCGTTAAATAAATTATCATAAATAATTTGAAGATCTGATCAAAAATGCACTCCGGTATGAGTAAAATATCGATATCCTATAAATTTCAGTCAATTTGATCATGAACTTTATTTACAAATTGGCTGAAAATTTTTTTTATGCATAAAAAATCACAAAAAATTTTGAATTTATAAAATAAAAAGAAGTAAGATTTGAAATTGTAAGGTAAAATTTCACCAATGAAATGGGTTGAACCCTTTCGCATAAAAACTTATTAAAATTATTGTCAAAAAAAATATTATTAAGCCGTATATAATTTAAAAAAATTTTAAAGATTCCCTGAATTATATGGTTGATGAAAGGTTTTATTCGTTAACTTGGTTAAAACTAGCAAAGCAATATACAAAAATACCGAATAATTAATACGTGAGCTCAAATCTTTAAAACAGTTACGATATCATAATTACAAACCGGTATACAGATATGTTTTAGAGGCTCGGCTCGGGTGGACGGTACTGGTAGGCCCTGTAAATAATAACGATTAAAACAGGTTTAACGGTTAGGTGTGTTTAAAAGTATCGGAGTTGGCACATTTTGGGCGATTGAATAAATAAATACCTTCAAAGCTTGGTCCCCTTTCTAACATGGGCGCTTCTTGACCCTTCCTACTAACCTTAGACAACGCGTTGAAACCCGGTAGTTGGGAACAGCTCAAACTTTTGCGATCATAATAATTGTAGAGGGCGGAAAAGGTGAAATCCTTATTATCGAACCGCTTTAGTTGACGCACTAGGTTGCATTTACTCAGATTATTGGAGTTGAGACGGCTTAGCTTTTAATAAATAGAAGTTTAATTAATCATTTTTTTATTAATTTATTTGTATTTTTATCTTTCTTTTCTTCTTTTTCATTTTTTTCTCCTTTAATATCTGGAGATTAAATATTCATAAGAAATTTGTCTTATATTTTTTTTGAAAAGCACGTGATTAAAAAGAAAATACAAAGTGATCGTTTAATTATATTTAAAGTTTAAACAAAAAAACAAGTTAAATATCGAAATCATAAAATATATTTAGAATTTAAGTGTACAGGCCCGCGTTTTTCTTTAGGAGGGGGCGATTTGAGTTGCGAAAAATCGAATCGCGACATATTAACGAAAGATGAAACATCTGGGTCGATTTTCTCGTTATCCACCGGCTTATTATCGATTGGTATTTCGAAATCTTCTAATCAGGCGTGAGGAGCGGATGTGGTAGTTGTTCATAAAATAAAGAAATTTTAAAAAAAAGTAAATAAAATAGGGAGGGAGAGGGGGGGGGAAGAAATAAAGGGGTATTAATAAGCATATATTATTTAACTGACAAGTGGGTTTGAACCATTATTAATTTTAATTAGTTACTCACTTATAATTTTTTATTTAATACTATTTACTAACCGTTATAACTGCGTTCATAGTTATTTTCGGTTGATTTAGCAACTTTGTGTTCGACTTCCGTCATTTCCGGTTTGAGGGACGAGGTAACGTGTTGCGCCCCGATTTGGGAAGATATATTATTGGTGGTGTTCAAACTGTTTTCGGTTAGAACCTAAAAATAATGATCATATTTGATTAATTACGTATATTTTTTTTAAACAAATAATTTAAAACTGAAAATATTAATATCTTAAAATGGCGATTAAAATTTTCCAAACACAATTATCGCCTTAAAACGTGCGAAAATAGCGGGGCCGTATTCTATTATAGCGATATTTTAGGCTCGTAAATAGAGAATGCCACGTCCCAATTTAATCCGCTTGACGGTTTGAATCAAAATTTTTTTAAAAAATGGTTGAGTGCAGAAAAGGTTTCTAGGTCCAATAAATATAAATCGAGTTTAGTTTCCAATAGACGTGCAATCAGCTGGCCCTTTTTTTCGAAAATATATTTTCGAATAGAGGATGGGGTCCGATCCAGACCATAATGGATTTCTTGTTCTACAAGTAAGTCGCGCGTTTATCGATATATCGTTGGCTGAGAATTAGATCATTCCATCTCTACTTAATTTTACGGGCGAAACAGTTTTTAAAAAATTTAAGTTTCTATTGTCTTCATTCGATAGGATGGATAACCCTATATTCAACTTATATAAATATTTCGGATTTTTTTTCCCACGTAAATAAGAATAATTAAATTATAAAAAATTAATTGGCAAAACACGGATATGGAATAACCCAATTCTCCAAGCGACGATATATAAAAATCCAAATTCACTTTATTAATTTTTCTAATAAGAATCTTTCGATAAACTGCTAATCAACGTAAATGGAACATTTTTCCTTCAAGGAATGGGTAATTTATTAAAAATAATAAGGGGGTTTAGCAAATCTTTAAATTTTTAAATTCGCAGTGTAGTTATGATTCCGGCAATATCACGTTTTCAAAAATAAATATTTAAAAAAGGAACGTTAAAATTTTTTTAAAAAAAACATAAGTAAATGAGGCATTCCTATAATTTTGAGAAACCCTTAAGACATATATCTCAATACATAGAACAATTATATTTATTATTGTGTATTATTTTATTTTTGTAAAACTTACGTTTAACCCATTTTGCGAAGAGGAGGGCCTATTTTTGTCCAAGGAAGCTAATTTAAAGAATAGCTTTCTTACCCCTGTCACGCCTTTGGGAATCAATCTTATAAGGTGAAAAATTGTCGAAACAAATTTATATAAATAGTTCCTTTTTATATGCAGCCATATTAATCAAGGACTCGGAACATTCTAGAGCTGAAATGCGAGACTCAAGGCGAACCCTATTTTTTTTACAAAAAATCAGCCCAATAAACATTCCTGAGTTTTCAGAAGGTATCCCCAAAAGCTTCCAAAAGGTCCATGGTTCTCAGGAAAACATTTTGGGGGTTTGGGAACGTTGTGAAAGTTCTGATAATTCGTAGTAAAATTTTAAATCTTAAAAGAATTGGGACAAATAATGCTCTTTCGAGGTGTCCCCGAAACAAATGCAAAAAAAAAATTGACACATAGCCTTGCTTACAAGATAGATAAACCAAAAATATGTACCTTTTATTATGCTTGCTGCGTGGGTATTTATCGCCGCTTTCTGCGTTTTTTAATTTTTGAGTCGAATTGTAGAGATGCTTGGTTGAGTATTTATTATCTGAGGGAATATGAAAACAATTTATTTATAAAATGTCAGTTAGGTAAGATTAATGGCTATAATGACATCATATTATTAGCCAATCAATAATATATATGATATTCATACTATTAATTTTCTTCCATGATAAATTCACCACTTAAAAAAATTTGATTTTTAAACTGATCCTTAAATTTTTTTTTATATAGATAATAATATAATGTACTCGCTAATAAAAAAAATCATCTCTACCAGGTTTAAAATATCACTAGATATAAATAGAGGGTAAAAGATTTAAATGGTAGATGTGAATGATTATATCGTCCAAATAAGGTCAAAATAATGACTGTCAGAAACCTATCAAAATATTTTGTTTCAATTTTTTTTAGATAGATATTAGCGGTCTGCAATAGGCGAGTTTTAGCCAAGAAGCCCGCCCACTTCTTATATATTTTTAACCCGCCAGCCGCCACCCACCCAATATTTAAAATATTTTAGGAAGTCCGCCCACGTCCGCCCGAAGAATAGGCGTGCGGGCTAAAAAAAGCGCCCATTGCAGACCTCTAATAGATACTTCAAGTTGGAATGTTGAGGGTTGGTTAAAGTTATGATAATTTAATCACTTGACAATTAACGAAAATATGTAAATTTTTAAATCGTTAGGTCAAAAAAAAGTAGTTACGAAATACATTTTTTGTTTGACATTTTGAAATATTATTTTTAGTAAGAACTTTATATATATACATAAAAAACCCTTTGGTTTGTTTGAAGGTAGGGTCCGAAAAAACATTCACACCCCCAAACTCTCTGCTTTATATAATAACTATCCAAAAAATAAGATAATAAATAATATTTATTCACTCAAAGTGGAATCGGAAGATTTGGCTAAGACTTCTTCACTCAAGGAGCTGATCTTGCAAAATTTTTGTCTCAACGATTTACTATGTAATGAAAAAAATAAAAAACGCTTTATATACTATATGTTAGTGTCAAATGTGTTTTTTTTTCGTCACGTGTTATTTTTTTTTAAACATTAAATTCTAATTTGAGCGCGTATTCTGATTTTATTCGAAATATATTTAGAACAAATATTAGGCCCGACTAAACCTAAACATACCCGGTAACCTGTTCTTTTGCAGATCTCTTTACCCTACATTCATAACTGGCGAAAATTCGTGCTAAATGTGAATGTAGGGTAATGTAATGTATTAAAGTTCCAAATTTTTTTTTGTTTGAATATGTTAAAAAGCCTAGGAAAAAATACTTATATAAAATAATAGCAAATTTTTTTAACCAATCAAAAAAGAAGAAGAAAAAATGTGTAACGCGATTCTAGAAAGGGGTACTAAATAAACGAATTTTCTTTATTCGATTGATCAATTGAATAAATGAACTCAGACCGTATGGTACATGTCACCACGATATACATGTTTTGACAGATTTTGACAGATAATGGTCATGTTAGATAAAAAAATAAATAAAATTAAAGTAGGTTGGCCAGCCTATGCCTATGGCACCAAGATACTTATCCCCTAAATAATTATTTATTTTTTTTGAAATTTTTCGATTACTTTCTAGCCGACGAATTCTGGGAGAATGGGGATTCGAAATCACTAGTAGCGTCATTATATTCCATATTCTCGTTCGTTAGATTAGGAACGGAAGGGCTTTTACAGGAATCCTTATTCATCATTCCTGAATATCAGTAAAAATAAATAGGACAAATATAGGGTGATAATTTTTTTAAAAAATCATTTTTCTTCCACATAATAAATTATGCTACAGAGACGTTCGTAGGCCGGGCAGGCCTGTAGCCCTATATTATTTTTTCGAGCGGGCTTGGGTTTTTGAAATTTATTATTGGGCTTGCAATTTTTCATTTAAATTTAGCTTATTTAAGAATGATTGCTAACTTATGTAAAAATATTGCAATTTTTTATTTCCAATAATAATATATTTTAATATTGCACACAAGAAATATTGTTTATTTATTAAATAGAGTAAATTAAATTTTGGATATGGAGTTGGGAATTTTTTTTAAATTTTAAATATGAGTTGGGCCAGGTCTGGGCCTAAAAATTTTTTTTTTAACTGAGGGCCTAAGCTGGACCTGATCAAACAATTAAGGCAAACGAAGGTCTCTAAGATTACTATATCTAGCCATTCAAAGTGGTAAACTTTATCAATCAATCATTACATTCTTCAATATTTTATATAAATTTGATATATATGAGCAAGCAGGTCTTTATTAACAAAAAAAAATTAAAAATAACCTCCCCCCTCCCTTCCTCCCTATATCGTCAAGATGATCTTGTAAAAAAAATATATATAATAAAATTAAGGCCCAAGAGCTAAACATTACAATTACCATTTTTAGTTATTTGGCTTTTATCGACGCTAAAGTTTCTAACACTCCCTCGATTAGTATCAGCTTTTATCTCCTTATCGCAATAAACGATTTTGCTCGGGTAAGGGGGGTTATAAGGTTTGACCACACATTTTTTAAAACCGTGTTTAAGACCTAAATAAATATTTAAAAAAATTAAGATTAATTGGAAAGAATCAATGACATATAATAATACCTAGACTGACAATGCATTCATTAAAAGTGAACATCAATGAAAACAGCTGGGAACGCCATTTTGATTACCCATATCATTATTAAAAAATTTTAAATGAGAGGCCAATTTATTCATATGTCTGACGCAAACTTTATTAAAGAATTTCCTGATCATCGAGATAACAAGGAAGCAAGTTATCAAATTAATAGTATTTTTCAACATGATCATAATTACTATATGGGTTACCAAAATGGCGGGTCCAGCTGATTTGCTTTTAACGACGCTTAAAAATGCATTTTAATGAAGGAATCGTCAGTCTAGGTATTATTATACGTCATTGGAAAGAATTTAATCTGGTGCATAATATATTAATTATTATTTATAATTGCTTAATATCAATAGACAACTAAAATATACCTCGAGAAATGAATGTACCATGATATCTCATAATAAACAAATTAAATTTAAGTTTGAATAGATACTTTTAAAAGCTTTGAAACTATAATAATTTGGGGTCATTCCATGCCAAACCGATCAGGGTTAGGTCGACCCCTTTCAATTTTGAAAAAAATTATTGTTATAAATTAAGATTCTTGCAATCTATTCTCGGGCAAAATTTTAGCCTAGTAACTTTTATACTTTTGGAGAGATATCTAAGGTTCAAAGCATGAAAAATTTCCTTATTATGCGAGTGTCTTTAAAATTATTAAATTAATGGTTGATTACAGGTTATGCAACTATATATGATAAAAATAAAAAATACCTTTTTATCTTTAGAGTATAAAAGTAGAAAATTAATTTTTAAAAATTTTTAGACCTCCTATTCCCAGAATAAAGTTTGAAATCCTCATAACGAAAATTGGGTTAAACCGTTTATTTTTATACTAATTTAGATAAATATTACTATTACCATTCTATACGAGTATTAAAAAAAAATTAGAGTGGTGCCTACTATACGACTTCATAGGTAAAATTGATGGCGTTTAATTTTAATTAGCTTAACATTCTTAATTTATCTAATGTATCTACATAAATATTTTTATATAATAACTTTCTCTACCAGGATCCTATCCAACAGAAGAACTACCTTTATATTATATTTTATTATGCATTTATATCACGATTATGTTTTGATAATTCTTTTGGAGATGAGAATATCGTAGAGAAGGTATTATATAAAAAATAATCATATAGATACATTATTAAAAATATTCGGCTAATAATTAAACACCATTTATAAGAAAAAAATTTATTTTTCATTTTTTTAGACGTGTTTTTATCGATTTTGCATATGAAGTAGTATAGGCACAACTCTATATTTTTTAATACTCATACAGAATGGTAGTAGTAATGTTTATCTAAAGTTTCATAAAAATCGGTTTTACCCAATTTTGGTTATGAGGATTTTAATTCTGGGAATAAGAATTTCATTTATTTTGATACTAGATTTATATATAATTTCGTAATTTTTAATCAATCATTAATTTAATAATTTAAAGACACTGGCTAAAAGGCAGCTTTTCGTGCTTTGACCTTAGAATCTTCTAAAGTATAAAAGCTAGGATATTTAATAATTTAAAGACACTCGCTAAAAGGCAGCTTTTCGTGCGTTGACCTTAGATATCTTCAAAAGTATAAAAGCTAGGAGGCTAAAATTTTTCCCAAGTATAGATTACAAGAACCTTAGTTTATATACACGAATATTCATCCAATCTAAAAGGGGTCGGAAGAATCATGTTTTTTTGATCGATTCGACATGGAATGACCCCTTTGTAACCTCATATGCGGGTAATTAAGCTTTTAAAAAATGGATCTTAGTATCAACGACATTAATACTATCCTAGATGAAGGGATTAATTTACTAATAGGGCAATATTGCTTAAATGCCTTTCACTTTTTCGCCTAAATTCATTTCAATAGTAGGCTTCCATGTAAATATACTTTTTAATGTTTGAATCATCGGTCTAGGTTAATATTAATATCATTGGAAGGAAGGAAGGTATGAGCCATCCGAAATTCGTAATAAAACTCATAATATCGAAAACCCTAGATAACGGCTATTCATGACTCTTTGGAAAAATAATTTAAATATAGGGCATATAAATATTATGGTAAAGTCAAACAAAGCAAACCATTGACTAAAGATCCACTCCTCCTATGCTTTTTCTTTCCGCTTGAGTTAGCGAAGTTGACGTTACCCTTACCACTATAGCCACAATAAATATTATTCTCCCTTTTTTCGGACGTATTTCCGTTTTCCCTCCTTTTAAACATCGTGACAGAGCTTTGATGTTTAGGCGTTTTGTGAGAAGATGAAGGGTTACAATACGGATTCGTTCTAATCTTGACGTGAGTGACAGTCGTTGTCGTATCCATGTTCAGATAGCTGTCAGTCGACTGAGAAAGGCTTTGAATAGGGCCGGTCTGCGAATTGTTTTCCGTGTCCCCAAGTTCACTACCATGCGATGTATAAAATCATGAGATTTAATGATAATTTCATGTGGATTTATTCTATATTCCAAAACCAAAGATTCATCTTAAATTCTCGTAATAATGATTGACAAATTTTTAAAAAGGCGCATTGAAGGTTTAATTTGATAAATTGTCAAGTGCAGCTACCTGGTATATATATGTTAGTCACCATTTTTTTTTGGTTTTACTCTATCATATATTATAATATTTTACGAGATCATTTGTTATCAAAAGATAATTGACGTGAGACAATAATCAAAATTAATACCCGTCTTTAATGGGCAGGAGTCGATAAATGCAGTGAGGAACCCAGCCGAGCCTTTCGGAATGGTTTATAAAAATGGTTATGATTTTGATCCACGGGACAAATTCTTTCCACGACAGCGAAATTATGTCGTGCAAAAAGTTTGGCGTCATGAGCGTAGCCAAGTTATCGGCCGCCATTTTATTGAGATGAGATTTGAGGTTGACTTTTGAGAGCAAAATGAAGGTATACCTTATATCATGTTTTTTTTTTAAAAAAATTAAAATTTTTCTAGAGGATCATTAAATTTTTTTTTTAATTTAATAACTTAGAAAATGAAAGCTAACTATCTTGATTTTCTTCTCCTTTTTTATTAAGTTTAAATGTTTTTATATTTTTTTAAGCACTTTTTCCAAATAATAGTTCAATATAACTTCTCCTTTTCATTTAAGTCTGAATGTTTTTATATTTTCTTAAGCACTTTTTTTAACATAATAGTTCAATATAAGAACCCCAAGGAAGCTAATTTCCAGCTGTTTTGCATCATTCTATCCACAGGAAGAGTGAGAATTGAATTTTAAAAAATAATTTGACAGGAAAATTAACTGAAAGCTATTAAAAAATCTTAACTCTACCCACTCACCCCCTTCTCTTTAAAAAAAATCCCAAAACCAGAGCTTAAGATTTTTTCGAGAATCCTTTAAAATTTTGATCAAATTTTACTTAAAAAAAAATTCCACATCACTTAAAATTAATACAAACCAAAAAAGTTGTTTAACTTATGCCAAACAAAAATAAGCATCAAAATTAAGTCTAACCGGGTGACATACCATGAATAATTTTTTTTTTAAAAAAAGCTCTGTCTTAAACGTACCTCAGTATGTTGATATTCTGATAAGGTAACAGCAAAAAAAGCGCGAGTAAAGCTTCGATTCTCTCCTGACCGTTTCCTTCTGTAGTATCCTTGCTAGTTCTGTAGGCCTGAACAAAGGGAGCCCATAAATGGGTCGGAAATATCGGCTCCGGCAGCTTGGAAAAGAACAGTTTGAAGAGGCAGCAGGCGTCAAATACGTTAAAATTTATGTTGGAAGGGAGATGAAGGTTTTTGTCGATAAATTTCTGGGATGATTGAAATAAGTTTTTAAAGTAATTTTAAAAAAATGAACCCAGCCCGATTTTTAACTCTTTTTTCTTCTTAGGCTCAAACCGGCCCATGGGGTGGACTGAGAGGCAAAGGGGGCCCGCTCTAAAATATTCCAAAACTTTGGAAAAGAGGGGGCGTTTCCGCATACCGTCTCAAAACAAAAAAAAAGTTGTTAAAAGGGGAGCTAAATTCGTTTTTTGATCAATATTTTTTGAAGGCGGGTCCTCCAACGGAATAAACGAACATATGGTAGAGAGTATACATTAAAAAGTCCGCCCCCTGATCCCGGCCTGACTTGTAAGTGCTCTACTTCAAGTCGCAAACGATAAAGAATTGCCCCTCCCCTCACCCTCAGAAATATGTCCAACTTATAAAAAAAAAATAGTGATCGAAAATTCGAAGTCACACCCCGAATGTTATTTAGTAGGGAAGAATAAGAAAACGCATTTACTTGAACTTGGGTTTGTCTTGGACAAGAGCCGGATTTTCGAAACAGGCCTTCGACCTCCAAATTTTTCTCTATCATAATTCCCAAATTATGTAATATCCTGTTGAATTTCGTACATTACATTTTACATGATATCGAATATAATAAATTTATATGAATTATGATTCATTACTTGGGAACAGATGTTCCGAGATCATCCACTATTGTGTATTCAAGATTGGAGAGCGCATTCCCAAAAAACCCATTATTCTTTGACGTGTTCTGATTTATTGTAAAATAGAACATTTTATTATATTATAGTAAAAGATATTAATATTTTGATTAAATAAATATCATTTCTAAATATATATAAGTATATTTTATAAAAAATAAAGATTGAAAAAAATAAATTTTATTTAAAGTAGTCATCTGTATCTGGCCTATTTTTTCAAGCCCGGACCGGCCCGAACCCGTTTTTTTTAAAAAATGTTTTTCCGGTCCGGCTGAACCAGAATTATTTTTTATTTATCCCGAAATAAAAATTATTTGTCCGTCCGATAGAAGTTAATTTTTTATATGTAACATTTTGTATTAAAAATATTTCAATAGTCAATTTATTTAATATTTAATTATTTATTTAAAATACATTATTGTATACGCGACTATAAGTTAATTAGCTTCATATTTATAATTAAATTATCATTTAAAAATATTGAAGTATCAACATTTTCTGGTTTCAATCTATTGCTTCTTTCTTCTAATGGCCTTAAAAAGTTCGCCCTGAAGTTGTGGACGTTGCAGAAATTGCTAGAATCTTTGCGACCAATTTTGTCATCTTTGGTAATATAATTTCATTTTTACTCCACCATTTTATTATAACTTTTTTCCGGATATAAATTTTCTGTGTTCTCTTTTATATACAAATTCATATAAACTTCAAGCTCATCTGTTTTTTTTTGATATTCCTCCTCATTGTTCTCGCATCTTTCATATTCATTATCTGATATATAAAAATAGGGTAGATAGAACAATTTTAAAAATTTATTAATTAATTACGTTTAGATTTATTAGGGGATTCAACAATTTGAGAAATGCCCATGCCCCATTTAGGTAGAAATAAGATATGGGAAAATTTCGAAGATGTTTTTGAATGATAAAAATAAAAAAAAACTTGACTATGTTAAATGTAAAAGTATATTACAATGTAAAAATATCTGGTAATTATCACTTAAGACGTCACAAGTGCGTTAAGAATGACGATTCATCAATTCCTGAAATAATTGAGTTATTGACTGTAGTGTGATTATTCTCCATCCAACTACTTTATCAAGAAATGCATTATGACAGATCAAATTAGAACAAATTTAGTGAATAAATAAAAATGGTCAATTATTTGATAAAAACTACTACGCTACCATTGATATGTGGGCAGATTCTTTCAAAAAGTTTCCCTATTATTTAACCGTTTCTATTCATTATATCGAAGGTGAAACTTTGTATAAACATGTTTTATTTACTAGTAAGTTTAAAGAAGAGAAGCGATAATTTTCAAGGATTGTTCCTTAAGAGTATTTCGAAAGAACTGTATTTAACAGATGTGCGCTGCAATTTAATCTGGTATATTTTTCTATGGCTTTAATTATATTAGCTCATTGATCAGATATAAATATTATATTATTAAGGATTGTTCCTTAAGAGTATTTCGAAAGAACGGTATTTAACAGATGTACGCTGCAATTTAATCTGGTATATTTTTCTATGGCTTTAATTATATTAACTCCTTGATCAGATATAAATATTATATTATTAAGGATTGTTCCTTAAGAGTATTACGAAAGATATTTAACAGATGTGCGCTGCAATTTAATCTGGTATATTTTTCTATGGCTTTTATTATATTAGCTCCTTGATCAGATATAAATATTATATTATTCAACTTGATAGGGATTTATTCCAATTGCAGCAAAATTTTGTAGCATTTCCTTGTGTATGTTCTAGGCGATTTTTTTCTTCTCTTCTTTAAACTTACTAGTAAATAAAAAAATGTTTATATAAAGTTTCACCTTCGATATAATTAATAGAAATGGTTAAATAGGAAATTTTTTTGGAAGAATCCTTCCATATATCAGTTGTAGCAGGGCAGTTTTTATCAAATAATTGACCGTTTTTTATATTCCCTAAATTTGTTTTAATATGATCATTCATAAGTCATAACCATTGAATTTCTTGATAAGGTAGTTGGATGGGGAATAACGCTACAGTCAATATTACCATAAAAGAGCCAATTCGAATAAAATGTTGAGCCATTCTCATAAATCCATCTCCGATTATCGAGTTAAAAACAAGCATGTCCTTGTATAAATAGTAGATCATGGTATCACATATTTTTTTTTAATAGTTAAGGAAGTATTTATATCTATAGTTTTCTTTTGAATATACTGAGGAATAGATGAATCGGCATTCTTAACGCACTTGTGACGTCTTAAGTGAGAATTACCAAGATATACTTTTATATATACTTTCACATTTAACATAGTCAATTTTTTTTTATTTTTATCATCAAAAACATCTTCAAAATTTTCCCATATTTTGTTTCTACCTAAATGGGGCATAGGTGTTTCGATCTAAAGATACATTAATTTATAAATTGTTAAAATTGTTCCATCTATATTTTTATATATCAGAAATGAATATGAAAGATGGGAGAACAATGAGGAGGAATGTCAAAAAAAGGGGAACAGATGAGCTTGAAGTTTATATGAATTGGGATAGATCCGGAAAAAAATATATTAAAATGGTAGAATAAAAATGAAATTATATTACCAAAGATGACAAAATTGGCTAAAAAGATTCTAGCAATTCCTGCAACGTCCACAACTTCAGAGCGAACTTTTTTTTCAAAGACTGGAAGGTTATTAGAAGAAAGAAGAAATAGATTGAAACCAGAAAATGTTGATGCTTTAATATTTTTAAACGATAATTATAAATATAAAGCTGATTTATGGTTGTGTAATTTAATATTATCAGTCTTGTTAAGGAGCGCCGCTACATTTTTTCAAAAAAAGCTGGCAGGAGCGGGAGTAGCTCTTTTTAGGGCTTTAAATTTAATATATAAATTATATTATTTTTTAAATATTAATAATATTTGTTAATTAAAATTTAATGAAATTAAAATTTTATTTTATTTAAATTTATTCATTATTAAATGTTGAGCCGAGTTTTATATTGATTTTTCATCTAATCATTTGAAACATTAAACATCAGTTTTTCCTTTTTATATTAAAAATTTTTTGAAAAATCTTGTAAGTCATATTAATATTCATTTTATAGATATATAAATTAGGAATGGATAAAAGATCCAAAAAATATGGAACTAAAAGCCAGATTAATTAATTTTTTAAGGAAACAAATACCCGACGGAAAAATAGCTACAACTAGTTCACGGGAACCTTGTAATGATTTGGAAGATTTCCTTGGATTCCATGAAATCGATTACCATGAAAATAATATATTGGATAGATATTTTTTAAATAATGATAGCAAAATTACTATTTTTGAACATTTCCATGAATTAAAAAATATTTATATTAAAATACAATACCCCGCTTCCCTCTAGTGCTCCTGTGGTGCGCCTATTTAGTATCGCAAAACAGGTCTTAGGGGAGAAGCGTGGGTGTTTGTTAGATTCTAATTTAGAAAATTTATTACTTTTAAAAGCTAATAAAAGATTATAAATATTTTGATATATCATATAATATAAATAAAACGTTTTGATAAAAATATGATTTTGTTTCGTGTACCTTCTAAAAAAATGAAAATCAAAGGAGCGGTTATGGAGCGGCACTCCATTAGTTGGAGCGGGAGCGCTCCTTTTAATATGTAGTAGCGGGAGGCGGGAGTTCGCTCCTTTTGAGAAGGTAGAAGCGGGAGCGGGAGTCGCTACTTTTAAAAAGGAGCGTTAACAAGACTGAATATTATGGTTATTTTTGATAGTAGTATTTTAAATGAATAATTAAATACTAAATAAATTGTCTATTGAGATATATATTTGTTATACAAAATGTTATAAAAAATAAACTAAAAGCTATAATAGAAAAAAAAAATTAAATTAATTCCTATCGGGCGAACAAATAATTTTTGGACAAATCAAAAAAAAAAAATTCGGGTTCGGGCTGGGCCGGTAAAATTTTTAAAAAAATCGGGTGCGCGTCGGGCTGAGAAAACATTTTAAAAAAAATTTCGGACCGGACCGGGCTTGAAAAATTAGGTAGGATGCTGATCACTACTATATACTATATAACAATTCGTATTAGAGAACCATCTACGTAATAAACAGATACTAAATATCAGTTAAGCGATTTTCTTTTTGAACAATTATATCTACCAAAAGTAACTTTATATGTACCAGTGTTGGGATGCTACTTTAGCCTTCACGGGCTATTCGAAGCCCGACCTGATCCTCGGGCTCGGGGCGGGCTGCAAGAGACAGCCTAAACCTCGCCAACCCGTTAGTAAAAATGTAATTAATGGAATCGAAAATTTAATTATATTAATTGTTTTTAGTGATAAAAAATTTAAACCTAAACCAAAGGGCTTAGACAGTTTTTTGGGCTCTCCCAAAAGCCATATCTAAAAACACCCATTTTTAAATTTATCCATGAACCTTACCTTAAAAACGGGTTCGGTTAGGGCTCAAAGTTTCATTTTATTTTCCTTGCTGATTTTATTTATTCCTTTTGCATTTTCCTCAAATTTTTTGAATGTAATATACAGAACAATTTATTAATTAATTTAATACAATACCTATTAATTATAAATTAGGGTAGGTAAAATAGGAAATAAAAATTACACGAAATTTATTAAATTTTTTCAAGAATATTTTCTATATCTAGAAAGAAAAAAAATTCATCAGAGCATAATTAGAAATTTGTGTATTGTCTGTCTTCCATCTTTTTCGTGATTATAAACTAATTTTAAAAAAATAATCCGAGATGGAGCATCAGAGATCTACAGGTTAGACAGACCCTATGCCCGGATACACGGGCCAGACCCTTTTTCCGGCCAAACCTAAGAAATAAATTTTTAAATCCCGGGTCGAGTCGAATATTTAAAACCCGGGCTGGGCCTAAAAAAATCTGTGAAAAATTAAAAGGTCGGGCCGAGCAAGTCGTACATAAAAAACTTTCGAGCCTTACAATTTATATATACTATTATAAAATCAGAAAATACAGCCTTTGGATTTTAAAATTTTCGAAGCGATTATTTTGATTCACTATTTGAAAATATTGAAATATGTTAATTTGTATTTTAAGAGCGGAGAGATATAAGAGCCTTAATTGATATTAGGAGAGAATAAAATAATTAGATATAAATATTTAAAATGTGATAGCGGGAGAAAATTCGCATAAAAAAAGTTAGAACCGTGGCAGACTTTTTGTAAAATTTTAGCGAGCTGGAACTGACTTTTTCTATTGTTTTAGGGTTTATAAAATACAGTTCTGCTAAAGTAGCGCGCTACTTTAAAATAAAAAATAGTTGATAGTGATGGTTTACTACTAATTTTAGATTTTCAATTTTATATAATAAATACACCATGAAAATTATAATATATTTATAATTATTTCTAAAAATCATAATCTTAATTAGTTTTGAAATTCATATTTAAAAATTTGCATTATAAATCTAATTTTCAAAATAGATTAAAATGTCGACGAAAGAGATTGATATTGAAGATAATTTTGGTACAGATCATATCGACAAAGTAATTTCGCTGGAAGATGATAATAATATATATATATATATATATAGCAATAAAGATTTGTTGTAACACATTTCCATATATGCTTAAAATAATTCTCATATAGTTTTTAACTGCCGTAATTATTGTAAAAAAAAACATTTTTATATAATTAAAAAAATATTTATTATTAAATTTTTTAAGACTATATGAATTAGGAAATTGATTTATGTCCAAAACTTGTTTCAAAACATAGTTAGCGAAATCGTACGATTTTCATTCACATTACAAATTTAACGTCTGGTAATTGTAAGCGATTTTAATAATATTTCATTTCCATCGTATTATTATTTTTATACAAAATGATGAAGAATAAGGCTAAATTTTACTCCTTCAAAATGGAGATTTCAACAGTCTAGAAAATTTATAGGACCACATGCCTAGCTATTTGACAATTAGCATTCATATGCCACAACCTACTCTCACTGGCTTTGTAAGGATAGCAAAGGATTTTGAAAGGAAGTGTAATTTACCAAACTACCCCAATCTGGCAGTGTTCTACAATTACAAGCATTTCTTCTATGTTGTACTGCCAGGTTTATGAATTTATTATAAATTTTTACTAATTAAATATTGCACCATAAATTAAACATTGTAATGAACATAAATATAAACCTTGATAAATGACAAAAATACAAAGGAATTGTCAAACATATGAGATTTATTATTCCTTAATTATACAAGACAATCCAATATTATATAAAAATATTCTTATTTTGTTTATTTATATATTTTTTTTAAAAAAAAATTGTTTTTACATTTTATAGTGATATTTTAATAAAAATAAATCTACCTTCTGTGTCTGACACTACAAGTCTATATTATAAAGATTTTTATATATTATAATTCAAAAGTATATTTTCATTATTAATAAATTATTTTCTATATATTTTTTGATAGCTTTTTATAATTTTGATTCATCTTTTTCATTCTTAAAAAAAAATATGGGACAAAAATCTATCCTTTCCAAAATAAATTTACTAATTTCTAAAAATTTAATAAATTGATATCCATTAGATGGAGTGTTAATATGAAATATATTTTTTTTTTTACGGTATCATTAAAGACATTATAAATAAATAGTGCGCACAAATTGAGCGTTCACTTTTTGCCGCCATTTTTAAATAAAAAACGTAACGCGCGGCCTGATCCGATGAAAAATATAGATACGTCCCTCATTTATTTCCATTTTATAATTGTTCACAGTCCATCTTTTTTGATTTAGTTTTGTGATATTGGTTTTTACTTGACGGCCCATTGAAATTTTGAACTGTCTCTCTTCCGTGTACCCATCACTTCTAAACTCTTAACTTTGTTTCCAATATCATTTTCGGACCTTCTCATCGTATTTCCATACCATCTAAATTTGCTTACAGTGATTTTGGGGTTTTATAGATATTACCTTTAAACTTCCTAGTATCTATCATCCTCATTATCTGTAAACTACTCCCGTCTTATTCTAGTGGTCTGTTGCTTAAAAAAATTTGGGGCCGAAGGGGGGGGGGGCATGCTATAATTTTTTTACATTAAGAATATACATAAATTCGTTTATTTATATTCATATTTTAAAAATAATATATCACAAATTTAATACTAAGGTTATCTATACAAATTAAAAAAATATATATAAATAATGAATTTAAAAAATTCTCGTAAATATTTCATTTTTTTTTCGTTTTCTTTAAACTGTATTTCCAACCTTTTTTGAAAAGATCTTAATCGCTCCCGCGATAATTACTTTTCCATATTGTGCCGATTCCATTTCATTCCTAAGCTTGTTCGATCACGTACCATGATCAAATTCATAAGAGGAACGCCTCTTTCACACTCGACAATATTGTAGGATAAATTATCCACAAGGAATTTTTGAAATTTTATATCTTCATAGATATATTGTTCGAAGCCCATTAATCGTTTCAGATTAATTTAATTTGAATCCTTGGCAGATTTTCTTTTATTTCGCGTCCCATCAATCGCAAATCTAGGTTCTTGGACCAATTTTATTTTTATTTCCTATTATTTTTCGCTCATTTTGTCTGATTGCGTGGATTGTGCCAGTAGTCAATCTTCCAGGCATGATGCCAAGCTGAGTTTACCTATTTTGACATGTCTTTTAGCCCATTTATTTTATTATTTTTTAGTAAAGTTTAAGATAGATGGACATTTTCATAATAATAATAATAAAAGGAATCAAGATTCAATTTAGGTGAAATGTATAAAAAAAATCGAATTATTTTAAAAGATGAAGTAGCTACAAATTTGATAATTTTTTTATCATATTATCTGCAACAAGATAAGGATTTTAAAAATATCTAACTTACAACAATTGTTGTTAAAAGGCTTGATTTAGCAAATTTTTAAAAACCGATAACTCAAGATTCTAGTCAAAACCAAACTACCCAGGCTTAGAAATGGTGATAGAAAGATTTGGACATCTGTTGGCAAAATTTAGAGACTTAGGTAATAATATTTTGACTAAAATCTGGGTTTTGCAGATTAAAGACTCGTTTTAAAAAAGGCTAAACAAATATTTTAGCCAAAGGGTATTATGCAAGCCTGGAAATTTTGTTTGTAGATGGAAAGACCACCTATTATAGAGATACCGAGGCTTATCTTAATTTCAAATTGGCTAAATTAAGCTGTTTAATAACACATTTAACAGCCTGGCATTCATCTATAAACATTGTCCATATTTTAAATGAGATGATTAACTGTGTTTTTGGAGGGAATAAAAATATATACTTAATCATTCGTGAAGGTTATGACATTGGTTCAAATATAGATGGTAAATAAATCAGAACAAATATCGGATCTATATCAGTTTTCTAGTAATATGGGAGAATATGTGATTGGTGAAAAATCTGTGGATTGGGATAGCCCATATTTTGGTTGAAAAAATGGTTATAAGACTTTAATTTCAATTTATTCATTTTTCATCATTCTGCATTAATAATTAATTGATGGAACATTCCAGACATGTTTTGGGAATGGAAATTGGGGAAAATTATGGAATACTATCAGAAGGAGAACAATGTTTACAGGAACATTCCAAAAATTAATATAATTTTAATTGAATTTTATTGCACATTATTATATATAACAAAATTTATATATTCACTTTTCTTCTAGAAATCCAAAAAAATCTAGTTTTATAAATGAAAATTAAAAAATTGTCAATTTTGTGGGCAGGGTGTCAAACTGAACCAAATCAAGAAACTAAAATAAATGAATATAATTTTCTATGATTTTAAAATTTTGAAAGAATAGAACCAAATCATTATAAATAGCTTTATACCAGGTCATAAGGTTTTTGAAATTATATTTTTAAAAAAAATAGTACAAATTTATAAGTAGTTATCTAAGTTAATTATTTCTTATAAATGTTTTATAATAGAATAAATAAATTTATTTAATTTTCCACAAAATCCCAACACAACTTAGTTAATACAATTCCTGTTTTTTTGAAATCTAAATGCAATTTGGTGATAAAAGAGTATATTCTTTAAATTAAACTGGGGGAGGCATCAAATTTTGTGAACCCAATTCACCATCAGTTTGGGTTTAATAAGAGATCAATATTAAATAGGCTATTAAAATAATCATAAGTAATTAATAACGTATTTGTATTGATAAAGATCTCTAAATTAGTTTTCTTAGATGAATAATAAAATATTATATTAAACTTGTGTTTTGTCATTCTTTTTTAATATTATAGGAATTTTGATAGAATGATTATCCTTAAGATGCCTTCTAAGTGCATCATCAAGTAATACGCTTTTGGGGATGTTAATGATAAAATTCATTTGTTTTCAAATTCAAATATTTAGCGGCTTCTACAAATCGAATAATTCGAAAAGGATAGATGAATCCATAAGTAATGTTTTTAAAAGTTGAAACATAAAATAGTGCATAAATATTAAATTAATTCCCTACTCAATATAATTTATTCCCACATATAATTTTTCCTTTACGAGTTACTATAAAGAAATTTTAAAATTTTTTTTTAATATATGCATACATTTGTACCCACGTGCCAAAATGGCTAACTAAATTATTGAAGAGTCTAATATCAGCATATATATTTTTTATCCTTCGTTTATTATTAATATAAATTGTAATAACGGATACGAGACATCAATAAAACTCTTTTAATAGTTTGTTATATTTAGATTACACACATAATTCTGCAAAGAAAATGATGATCTTATATAAAATATATGTATATTTTAAAATTGTTCACTATAATCACTATACATAATTTAATTATTTTAATATTATATTTTTATATTATAATTTTTTTTCAATATGTTGTGGTACTAAAAATACATTCATAGATAAATTCTTCATTCAAGCAAATATTGAAGAAGTAGTATGGAATTTTGGAATCAATTTTTTATCAATGCTGGGTTTGAGAATGACACTGCGAATGATCTTTCCATTCTATTTAACAATCATCATTTGACCAAGCAAATGCTCCCAAGTATTACAAAAGAACATTTAATAGATATGGGCATTAAAACAATTGGAGATATAATCCTGATTCAAAATCAAGCTAAAGAGATACAAGAAAGGGTAGCATTTAAATTAAAATATTGTAATTATTTGGTGTTTAGGAAAATAATCCTTATAAAATTCAACAAAGTTGTTAAAATTCTTTTAATCAATAGAAATAATTCTTTTTTTAGGAAAAGATGGAATCAAATTATCCTCTGAAAATATATTAAATTATAAAAAACAAGTTTATAATATTAAATTAGTTATATTTGAATTAATTTTGCTGTTCAATTCTTAAACCATTCAATTCCTTGAAAAGGAAAATTTTTTTATAACAAAAATGGTACTTATATTTTAAATAAAATTATAATTATTATAAATAAGATGTATTTTTATACTTATATTTTAAATGATTCTAGTCACCTTAATTAAATGATTATTTAGATTTAATATCCAACATATTTTATAAAATTTTCTCATTTATCACTAAAATTATTATTAATTATAGTGTATTTGTTCCATATACAGATTTGCATTGCAAAATAGTAAATTTATTTTAAAATATATTTTTTAAACCTTGAATAACAAAATTAATGATTTTTTATTATATATGGACTGGGTTTAGCTATAAAAAAGATTTTATAAAGGTAATGTTAAAATATTTTTCAGATATGGCTCAAAAATCTTTAGGTAATGATCTACCTATTATATCTACTATCCATATGCAGTTACTTCTTCCATAAATTTTTCAAAAATTATTTAACTCTATTATTACTCTAAGTAAAGATTATAACAAGATTTCTTTGTCATAATATAAAGGTTTAATTTCTTGTATTGCCAATACAGATGAAAATTTTATCAGAAAATTAAAATACCTTTATCACATTAAGTACCTTGATACTTGTAAAACCCTGGTTGATTGAAAAAAATACATTATGAAACAACTTACAAAATGAATCCAAACAAAAAAATATATAAGGGTCTATTTATTTTGGAATTGTCAGTTTGATTTAAATAATTTATATTTTTCAATTCAAAATTTTTAAACCTACAATAAATTAAAAAATAGTAATCTAACAAGAAACAACCAAATACTCTGCCGATCGCGTTAAAATCATTAATAATCTAACATTAGGTGGCTAAATATATGGGCAAACAAGTGGGTGATTTTTTAAAAAAATATGGTCCAAGTCCAACACGTGGGTTAAAAATCTATTTTATGCCCATCTCTACATATGGTTATTGCTTTTGAATATTTTACGATAATTGAAAAAACTTCTTGCTTTGCTTGTTAGTTGTACTATGACTCACCATATAGATTGATTTATTTCCTACTAATCTAATTTTGTTTATAAAGTTTGGTTTTTATAAAAAAAAATTTTATACAATCATTTGTAGTATCAAAAAAAATTATTTTCAAAATAACTATTACTTTATAGCAAATTTATTAAAATCGTTTTTACTAAAATTAAACCTTTACATTTTCACATAACATTTAAATTATAAATACAACACAATATATTTATTTTAAATACCAATTTTAAAGGAAATTTATAAAAAATTGGATGAAAATATGGACGTTGAACAAGTACCAGTCTTACCAGAAAAATCTATATTACTAAGTAGTACAAATGATCGTAACAATCCTACCCTTAAAACTCAATCTAACACTAAACTCCAAAGTCAAATCCTCCCTTCAATCCAATCTAATTCTGTCATAAACGTAATTTTTTAATATTTCCTTTTTTAAAAAAAATTATTATTTAGCAATCAATTAACGAATCTATCACGAAAGTTGCCACAAGCTTACCTATAGCCAAATTAGTGGGAACCATAACTATTCCAAAGAAAGAAACAAATAACCAATCACAAAAGGGGCAATCTAAAAAGGTACAATTTCAAAGGAGAGAATTAAGTGGTGCCAATAAAAAAATTTCCACAATAGCTGCAATTTCACCCCTAATATCTAAAACTTCTAGTAGAACTGTCAGTCAAGGAATCTTTGCTAACTCAAAACCTAGACCATCTCAAGGTATTAGAAATAGATTGGGAACTTTACCAAGCAACAATGATCTAATTAACACAGATTCAGGGCCAAATAATTTTAATCTAACTATGTCAGCTGAAAGGAATGGTCTCAGAAGAGTTACACAAAAAACATCCTTTAAAAGAACGATTCTTAACTCAACTATTCCATCAAGTAAAAAACAATCTCTTTTTGGGGTAATGAATTATGATAATGAAACAAATGGCAGGAAAGTTGCTTTTGCTGATTATGGTAAAACTAGATCTAATGAAAATTACTCGGATCGTTTATCCAGAAGATTGCCTCTTAGAAATAGTGGTAGGGTGCACGATCTTCCTATTACACCACATTCTTCCGTATTTAATAGACTAGGCCAAAAAAGTGCTAAAGAGAGATTGGGAATTATTTAAATTAGCTTCTTTTTTTAAATATACTATTTGTCCTTTTTGGCAATTGATTTAAACCAAAATACTAGAATCTTGACAAATTCAATATAATTTATTTCGTTTTTTTTCATATTATGTTTTACATTGTACATGTAGGTATCTACATTCTTTTTACTGAGCCGTATTTTTTTACAAAAAACATATTTAAAGCGATTGATAAAAAATAAAGAAACACAAATTTACTTATTGGGTTTATTGATTGGATTTAAATATTTATAAGTATATGATAAATTTGATCATACATATTATATTGTATATTTTTTTAAAAAAAAGGCCTTTATTGTAATATAAAACATTTTTTGTATTAACTTTCTTAAACATGAACAAGAAAATCGATTTTACATTATGTAGGGGTATATATAGGAAAATAAATACATTAAATTACTTAATAAAAAAATATATATAATATACATAGGTTGAACAAAACACCAAGAAAAATACAATATCATCTTAAACCTATTTTTTAGTATTGACTGTTACTTACAATGTCGTAAATATTGTGTGCAAAGAAAGCATTTAAATATATTACACTGCTTTTTGAATATGAGAACATTTAAATATTTATATGATAGATAATGCTAGTATCGTTTATGATCTCATAGATAATTAAATTTTCACTTTTTAAACAATAATCTATCCATTTGGAAATAGTATAAAATGGGGGATGGGGTAATAATTTTTTTTTTATATTTAAATCAGCATATTCCATTTTTTTGCACTCTTTTTATGTTCGCCACATTTTTATAAAAAGTAATCTGGTGTTCTTCTGGTAACATGTGGTTCGCCTCTTCTTGAAGCTGGGTCGAATTGCAAGCTAATTAATTAGAGGGAATAAATAAAATTTTAATGAGCAAAAATCTTTTAGAAATTCAAACGTTTATTTTAAGAATGTAGGATTTACATCAATCATATCGTTTAGTGGTAACTAATCGAAAATAATCTACTCCCCTATTTCTATTGGTTTGGGCCTCTTATTCTACCAACAAAAATAAGAGAATTTGTTATAAATCAATTAAAAGGTAAACAAATATTTTGTTAAAAATATAAATATTTGAACTTAAGATATTGATATTCATCTAAAAAATTATTACAAGGAGTAATTTAGTAAATCGTCCAATTCCATAATAGCTGCTTGATTACCACATCTGTAACAGTAATTGGGGGCGCTAAAGATAGTGACTACATTTTTATCGTGGCACCAATTATAACCCTTGTAATCGAAATGTTAAAAAAATATAAGAGATGGGCAGTGCATAAATATATTTATAAACCTAAAATATTTTTAAAAATTTTCAATCCTACCTTAGATCTCCTATTCTTTTTTAGTAGTAAAATTAATTTTCTCAAAAGTATCTAGTCACAAATTAAAAAAAAATTATTGTTTTACTCTAAATGTAATTAGCTATAGTAAACTTAAATCTAATCGTTAAATCAGTTAATTTTTTTTCGATGATGCTAATTATATGACATAATGCATTACAGAAAGCAACTTTGAGATTAAAATAATCAGATATTTTATAGTTATATATCATATTATTTTTCATACTAAGAGCAAATAATGGTATATTTATCATTAAATATTTATTATATATATATTTGAATGCCATACTTAATAAATAAAAATTATCTTATTATAAAATTTAGTCAGGTATTTATTATCTTATTTGTGGATAAATCTTTCAACCATAATAAATTTAAAGGTCAGATAAAATATATGGGGAATAAAAAAAAAATTCCAGGTATTTATTTTCCACAGGTTTGTTTTCTATCACTATTTTATAATAATCTTTAACAAGACTGATATTTTTCTCACTAAAAATAAATAAAATAATTTTGTATAAAAAAGATAAATTATAGAATCGAATAATTATTTTATTTGCACAATTATTTATACGAAAATAAATAATGAATTATTTGATTCAAATATATTAATCCAACTATTCAATTTGATTCATATTTTTGAATAAATCTATATTGAACTATAATATTTCACTGGCAATTTCAAATCGACAATTAATTGTTTCTAGGAGATTCAAGATTTTTCTATTATAGTCACAATAATGAAAAATCTTAAGTTTTAGATACTATAAAAGGCTTATAGAATGTGTTAGGATAGATATAATTATTACATTCCGTGTGATCACTATAGTAGGTCCTTTTAAGAAGAGGCTGAATAGTGATTTATCGACTATTAGTAATCATTTTCCCATTATAATATTCGAATATCATAAAATTATCAGAGATCTGCAGGCCTGGTTAAAGCCTGGCCTGAGTACACAAGTTGGTCCGTATTAATAATTTTTAAATATACCCAGGCTGGGGATTATATTTTAAAACCAAATATTTTAAATCGCCATTATTAGCTATAAAATTAAAAATAAAATATATTTTAAAAAAAATCCGAACAGGGTCTGAAAGTATAAAATCTGGACTGGAGGCCTGAAAAAAATTTTTGAAAAAAAATCCAAGTCAAGTGGGCGAAAATTTTTTTTAAAAAATCCCAGTCGGGTCATGCAAATAATACCTCTGTGATGGTCTCTGAAAATTATTATTAATAATTTGTAAATGATTTTTATATTAATAAAATTTTTTGATATATCATGAGAATTTTCTAAAAGAAAATATTTACATACACGTTGAGATAATAGTTTTTTATTCGGTAAAAATATTTCTATAAAAATTAGATACTAAAAATAAGGCAATTTCATTTGAAAATTAAAAATTTTATACTGCCACTTCGTTATCACTGCATATATGGTACGATACACAAAAATCATTAAATCAGTGATAAATCAATAAATAGCAAATGTACTATATAAGCATCTCGACCATTAATGGCTTAATTATCAAACTTATATAAATAATGAATATACCTTTTTTTTAAAGTAACAAGACACAGTTAAAGTTTCTCAAAAATTCAGGGCCGTAGCCACGGGGGGGGGGGGGGGGAGCCGGGGGAGCCCCCTTCCCAAAAAAAAAAATTTTTTGGCCCTAAACCTGGCCCCCAGAAAAAATCTTCAGCCCCCAAAAGTGGCCCCCAAAAATTTTTCTGCCCCCCCCCAATTTGAATTTTTTTTTAGAATTGATTATTTTTATATTTTTAATATAAATTTTAAATATTTATTCAAAAATATTCAAAAAACATGTCTATTTAGAATTGATTATTTTTATATTTTTAAAATAAATTTTGAATATTTATTCTACAAACATATCTAGTTTGTAAAATTTTTTTTTATCCTGTTTTATTTTTATTTTTACCCAATATTAAATTATCATTCATTCATTTTTTTTCATCTGTTTTTGTTGTGTATCACATTCTCTATAGGTATCACATTAATATTATAATATATAACCAGTTATTTTATTTTAGAGCGTTTATTTTAAAATTATGAAGAAACAATCAATTATAAACTCTTATTTTAAGTTAAAGTTAAACAAATGTCAAGCAACATCACCTCTACAAACTACTAGTAATACTACATCAGAAATTTCAGAAACTGATTCTTCTCATAGTTAGTATAAATTTATATTATTATTTCATGACTTATATGATATTGATATAGGGCAATATTTGTATATTATTATTTAATATAATATATATATTTTATATAAGATAAGAGAAAGACATTTATTATTAATATTATCATTTTTGTATAATAATTTTAATTATTAAAATAAATATATTTACTCATATTTCAAGATATGAATGAAGCTAATCTAGAAAATCAAGAGGAGGAAGATGGTAAATAGTTTAAAATTTAACCCAAATTTTTCTATTTATATATTTTTGACAATATGAATAGGAGTAGGAGATTATGGTCATTATTACATTTTGATTTTAAAACAAATAAAGACGAAGAAGAGACTCAATCATCTTCATCTAGCAGCTCAGTCTCTCATTGTCAAGAATCAAGTGGTAATTGATTTATAAATATAAAAATATTATATTTTTTTGTTAATCTTTAAAGATATAAGGGTCATTCCATGTCAAATGAGCAAAAAAAATGAGATTTTCGGCCGACCCCCTTCGATTTTTTTAAAATTTAGTAAGCAAAGAAAGGTTAGTGTAGTTAAGAAATAGCCAAAATTTTAGCCTCGTATTTATATTTTTGGAGATATTAGGGTTCAAAGTGGCAAAAATGACGTATTTTTACCATTATCTGCCTTCATTCAATTAAGCATATCTTAAAAACTATCTAATTGTAAATAACAAATTTAATATCAAAATTACGTACAAAGATTCTACTTTTAGATAAAAAAAAAAATTTTTTTTTTCAATTTCCGGCCATTTTATTAAATATATAAGGACTAAAAACGATTTTTTAGAAATTATACGACCTTCAATTTTTTTAAAAAATTTAGTAGACAACACTGAACTCTTCCTTTATATTTATAAAAAAAAATTGATCTGGGACGAGGCCATCTTCATTCTCAAAATCGATAAAAATGTTTAGAAAAGTGTATAAATATTTCCCCGAAAGGGGGCGTCTTTGCATAAATTTATATTTAAATCAGTTTTTAATGGTTTTTCTTAGACTATTTGATATAATTTAAAGGAGTATTTATCTTGTAAGTGAAAATAACAATAAATGGGGCTTTCATTCAATTATAGAAATTGCCTATCGATAAAAGAAATTCAATTTATTACTTTATTTATAATTTTTTATAAAATTTTTTGCTAATATAACATATATTAATATTAATAAAATATATTCAACCAAATTTATACTTCTTGAATATATGAATCAGAATCTTTAGCATTTCATATATGGCGCCCTAAATATTAAAAATAATTGATATAATATAAATTTTAAAATCTAATATATAACTCACTTTTGAAAGATTCTAATTTTTCGGTAGCGCATTTACTTTCTTGTGACGACAATGTGTAACTACGGCCAGTAGCAGTTAACGGTGAAACTAATGTTAAGATATGACATTTTGGCAAGTAGAGAGTGTCGTCTATACTTGGAAATGTAAAGGAATTAGAAGGTCCGGATGGGTGTAAAAACTTTATATATATTTCTTCCTCCTTTTGATTTTTCCCTAAAACTAAGGCTAACCACCAATTAGAATCATAAACACATGTTATATACCCTGATATCTCTCCAAAAATGATACTTTCATCATTATATGATAAATATTCTATATTACTTTCTATTGAATTGGAATACATTTTACTCTTAAATTGATGTAGACCTGTGGGAATCACCGTGTGAATTTTCTGTGTTCCAGGTATAGGTCTCGTTTTTGAAAACCTTTCCCTGAGTAATATTTCTTCGTGATCATAATTTTCTTGGGTCATATATTCAAAATATATGCCATTAATATTTTCTTTAGCGAACTCGTACAATTCATATGATGTGGTTATTTGCTTTGAGTAAGGTCTTTGTAAACTAGCTCTAGCGGCTAATCTTTTAACAGTGCCACCAATCCCATCACAAACACTTTTCCCATGTGCTGTAGCAGAAAAATGCCATTCCGCTTGTATCCCGAAATCCATCTCATGATGGCAAATATTAACAAAATTTTTACGATTTTTATACTGTGCAGCAGATCCATCGGAAAAATAAAAAATTTTATTGGCATACAAATTTTATTAATTAAAAAATTTACCAATGTTTTTTGGAAATAATGTACTGCTATTGTATTGTGTTGCAAAGATTCGGATATCATTACATAATTTAGGCAACAAATATTGGCTAAATTATCTTTATAATATATAACAAAAGGGTGAACAGTGGATTGAGCTCTATTCCAATGATAACTTTGTACTTCATCCTGAAGTATAAAGCTATAGTTTTCTGAAAAATCACATAAAATTAAATATTGGCCTTTGTCTAAGTTCAATTTTAGATTTTTTTGATACAATGATTGTTGCGTTGAAATAAAAGAATGGGGTAATAAAGATTCCATTTTTTCAAAAAAGGCATTGATAAATTCATCTACTGGCTTGGTTATTGTTTCAAGAGTGGTTCTATCTACGGATAGCCATTGTTTGTATGTTATAAATTCGATGTCCTTAGAACGAAACAATATTTCTATTTGGTGGCGTAAATTTGTTGACCCTGGACAATTATCACATTTGCCCAAATAACAGGATGGTTGAGGCGGATTACAAATTATTAAGGGTAAAATATGTTTATATGTTTTAATGGGCAACATATCATCTTTGGTTAAATTGGGTAAATTTGATCCAATGATCATTAA